GGGTAATGTCAACCCAATCTCTATCCAGGATTGTCATTCTTTACACTCAATTATACTTTATTCTACGTAGAAATCCTACCCGGGCATCCGTTGAAAAATCAATAAATGACACCATGAAAATTTATAAAACATAAATGACGTCAGGAGATTTGAAGTAAACAATTAAGAAATACTTGAAATGAATAAATAAAAATATAAAATATGTTCGAGAAATTATGTTGCCACCGATTTTTATTGTCTTGCATCTTTCAATGAATTTTAGCACACATTTAAGCAAAAAAAATGAAAGTTGAAAATCTTAACGCAATCATTTTTCATGTTATATCTATGCTATAGAATTTGTAGTTAGTCAGAGTGTTAAAAGAACTGGATTGGATTGGATTAATTTAGGCCTTAGACCGAGTGCCCTCTGGCCCTAACACCAGACTTAGACATTTTGATATACTCTGCATAGATGTCTGGTGTGTGTCCGAATGTCTTAGTCTGGTGTTAGGATCAGAGGGCACTAGGGCTATATATAGGGTTTTACCTGGGATGACCCATAAAGCCACATTGTGGCTTAATTCATTAGATACTCCCGCGATGTTTGGTCCTGTCAGCATCGGTCTTGATTTTAGCCCGTCCCACGTTTAGAGTAGCTTCCCTTATGTGAAACTTCCGCTATCGAAAGGCGTGCGTTTTGAAACAGAGAATATGGCTCAATTACCAAAACAACAGCAGGTAAGAGGATGTTTTCACGATAAACGTTGAAAGCAGCACCATATGTGTATTTGATAACGAACATTACACCATACTAAAGCAAATATGGCATAAAAAAGCATTGGCATGTTGCTCATATGCCGGTAAAAATGGGAGAGAGGAAGGGGGGGGGGGGGGGGGGGTTATTATATTTAAATGATATGAATATATTTAAATGATATATATAGAAGACTAGGTCATGTTCCAGTAGTAAAGGTAGCCGCACTATATCGGCGCTTTGGTGGTGATTATACTGTGATCAACAGGCAAGGACAAAAGAGTACATTTGAGGCTTTATTAAAACCGAATTCACTGACGTAAATATTATAAATTAGTCATGTACTGGAGCACTAGCAAATCTTACGAGTATAAAGGGAAGGCAGATTTGGCTATATAATCAAATATGACTATACGTATATATGAAACAAAGGTCATTATTTGTTCAATGCCTCCACTAGGAGTCGAACCCGGGACCTCTGGTTTACTAGTGTTACGCTCTACCGAATGAGCTAAAGAGAAAATTCTCCCTAGCCGAGTCTGTAGGAAGTGGATATTATTTTACCACAGTGACCTATAGGATGAATTAAGCAAACAAGTCGATCATGATCGCAACTTCCAACTGCTCATTAAAATTCATTCGGACATTTCAGTACCCAGTACTTATTAACACATTATGGTATTTCCAGAAAGTTGTTTCGAACCTAGAACCCTCCGAACTCTAGACAGACGCTCCACCGATGGATCTACCTTGTTGCCGATGATCGACACAGTCCTGTTCCACTACATTCCTCTCTCCTATTTTCTAAGTCAAAGACAGCACTATTTATAATCCAGGTTCGGGCATACCCTTCCTTGTCAAGCTATCTCCTAGAACTTGAAACAAGGGTTGGTCACCGGCACCAAATGTAGTAGGAGTGGGAAAATGTACAGCCAGATCAGGGTTAGAAGACAGGATCCTTCTAACGGTAGACAGACTCTCTACCAGTTGAGCTACCTGGTCGCAAACAATCGACCCATTAAGCTACATAGCAAACATTTGTAAATGATTTTCAGCACTTTTACCAAATATCATTTTTTTTACTTTGTTTGCTTTTTGTGGCCTGCCATATGTTGCTTATTTGTATTTTCAGTTTATAAGTACCGAAACAAGCGGGAACAAATCTAGGTGATGATCTTTGTCACAAATGTCATCCTTATCAAATATTGATAGCAGCTCTCCAAGGCTGGTTCTTTTGCGAAGTTTACATACATGTAGGAGGCACATACTACATAGCCTGATCATCAGTTCTGTCTCCTGCTTATTACACTTCGATTTAGTTGGAGTCCCTATTTTCTGCAGGCAGGCATGTGCCATCAGCTTGGCCCTCGACCATATTGATGAACACTGCATTGAAAAGACATTTGTTCAGACTCTCTATCGGTCTTCCAAAGTTTGCAGCTATCCCTTTCAACCCTATGTAACTTTAGTAGACTCTACAATGCATTGATCTGGATGAGTCTTTTTTGGTCTACAGTGGTGAAAGGGTTTAGAGATCCCCCAAAACACTGACAAATACCCATGTAATTTGCGCACTTTTTTTCAGAAATTTAATACCCAAAGTAGGGGGTGCGTAAAATACACAGGTATAGAAAAATTCAAGTTTTTTTCAGGAAAAGATCGACGATTCTGAGAGATCGCCATCTTGGATTATGTCCCTTGGTACACGGAACTCTAAGACAAATGACGATCAACAAATTTATTTATGTCAAACATTAATAAAAGATACATAATGTGTTGTTATGTGAGTTTATGTGAAAAGTATTAATAAATAGGTAACCGTTAACAAAAAAAGTTTAGTCAAATTCCTATGCCAGAGAATCGCCGATCAACTTACGACATTACGTTTCGATATCTCGGTGCGTTTCCACATATTATTACGAAAATGTAGTTGTTCAATTTAAGTTCCGTTCTATGTAAGTTTTTTCAAATCGCCTATGCGTATACGTATAGCATGTTTTTTTTCCGGCTCACTTTTATGTTGATCTCGCGTCTAACATTACGTAAACACGTGATTGATAATAACCTCGTGAATTATTTCAATATTTATTAAATGAAGCATCGTAAAAATAGTCTGCGTTAACTATTTTTTTCCTTGGAGTAGATTTGAAGAGGATGTATTGATTGTCCACGCTTCTAGTATAAACATATTTTTTATAATCCCTTATCAGTCAAATCAGTCTGTAGTTATGACAATGCAGTAGGACTTCGTAATTCACGCCACATGTTGGCGAGTGAAAAAAACAACAACACGGTCCGTCGATCGCGACTGCAAATCATTTCAATTAGTAGAGCTATTGTTAACGGGTATTCACAGAGATAGTGTTAGCTCATTACTGCATTGTAATTGGTAAAAAAATATCGCCAAACCACGGACTTAGATAATGTCATTCCGTGGCCAAACTGAACTGTGACATGACCTGGTTTGAAGTGACGTAACCCAAGCAGCCATGATGAGCCCTTCTCACTGATCGTAATTATGATCAATAAAAGGTATCTAATTATGTCTTTCACCAGGAGATATGCACCAGCGGTTACTAAACATCGAATTACTTATTAATTGATATGTTTTTGTAAGCAAGTAAATGTTTTATGTAAAATATTGCTAAAATGAATTGATGTATGCCGATATGCGCACACGTGTGTGTCATGTGTGATCAGATAATTCAAAGAAAACAAGCAACAAAATACACATTTTACGTAGTTTCTTCTTGGTTTTAAATATCATTTTACATCAATGAAAAAAAAATCATAGAAATATATTTAAAAAAAATATATTCAGAGATCGATTTTCGGAGCATGAACATCGTTTTTTTTCCAGATTTTTTGGGTGCGCAAAATATTCGAGTAGAACCTTTTTTCCCGATTTTCAGCCTCAAAAAGTACCTGCGCAAATTACACAGGTGCGCAAATTACATGGGTTTTTACGGTAAATAAAATTCTCATTATAATCTTGTATCTGAAAGAAATGCAGAATTATTTTTCTTTGAATTCCAAGTCACATCAGAATAAAAAAAGGTAAATGCCAGCTTTCGCCACACTTTCTTAGGATATTTATTAATTTATGCTAATGAGGCAAATTTTAATTGTATGATTATGTGGCTTCGTGCTAGAGGAAGTTCCCTTTAGCTTAGTGGTGGAGCGTCCGACTAGTATAGGAAGTCTTGGATCACAGATTTGATCCCTGGTGAAAGCACACTACTCTCTTTTCTGTAACACTTTGAATATTTTTGTATTGAAAGTGTTAATTAATAATAATAACAATTGGAGGTTCTTATATACCGCCTTACTCCCTGGGGAGCATACAGCCAGTGCTGCCATTTTGGCACTCACAGCTAGCATTCAACAATTCTACCATTACCCAACCACGTACTCATTTACAGCTGAGTAGACTGGAACAAGCGGAGTAAAGCATCTTGCTCAAAGATACAACACAGTGCCGTGGCTCGAACCTGCAACCCTTCGGTCATGAACCCGGCGTCCTGCCACTAGACTACCGTGCCTAAGACATTTAGCTGAACCAGTAGACTATTCATCCAACTGATCTATGTCATGATCACTTGTGAATGATCCAGCACAGTGAGTTCCAATACATACAAATATAACGTATACAATTTGTTTTGTTGTAGACAGGAGATAAAGATAAAGACCGAGAGAAGAAAAAGAAGGAAACAATCCTCGATCTGTCCAAATATCTGGACAAGCCAATCAGAGTCAAGTTTAGTGGAGGCCGGGAGGGTAAGATATATTGACAAGCCAATCAGAGTCAAGTTTATTGGTGGTCGGGAGGGTGAGATATCTCGACAAGCCAATCAGAGTCAAGTTTATTGGTGGTCGGGAGGGTAAGATATCTCGACAAGCCAATCAGAGTCAAGTTTATTGGTGGTCGGGAGGGTAAGATATCTCGACAAGCCAATCAGAGTCAAGTTTAGTTAAGGTCGGAAGGGTAAGATATCTCGACAAGCCAATCAGAGTCAAGTTTAGTGGAGGCCGAGAGGGTAAAATGTTTAAATGTCGTATTACAGTGGGGGTCAAGTTACAGTGGGTCTTGAGAGGGTAAACTACAACTTATCATGATATCTGATTTTTAATGCCATTGTTCTCAACTCAATTAATATTTATCATACAATTACGGCCTTCTGTGGAGAGAGATCAAAAGAATTATCTGTCTGTGCTGGGTTCCCACAAAGGGAAGCAATCCTTCCCAGGGTGACTGTTATCTATATCTCAAGACATTAAAAGCAATAAATGTTTTATAAAAGTGAGTAAATCATATCTTTCTCTGCAGGGTTATCTCCCCAAACTACAGGTATCGTGTCTTTCTACTGTTTTAACCTATTTTTGACGTTACATGTTACAGCCAGTGGAGTGTTGAAAGGTTACGACCCCTTGTTGAACCTCGTACTGGACGGAACGACAGAATACCTCAGAGGTAAGACTTGCATGTACCTATCCATGACAAAGTGGAGCTGGGATCTGTTCGTTTATGCGGAACAACTGGTTCGTCTGTTTTTAAATGCGACATTTTTTTTTTATATAAATCCTGGCAGACCTGCAAATGTTTATTTACAGGCCTTGCAAGGCTTTGTCAAGGCTTGCCTGAAAGCAGCATCAGATTACAGGGTTGGACCTTATTTCATAAACAAACAACTCTGGTCTAACCGGTTCATCCATTTTGATCGCGATAAACGAAAAAGGCCCAGGCATTTTGATTCACCTTGTTTGATTTCAACATATATATTGATCCAACAAGATTACCAAATGTGTGGTATTTCTCCGGGAATTCTGGATTTCCTCCACCACCAAAACCTGACATGACCTTAAATGACATAGCTGTTAATAGGATGTAACACACAAACAAAGCACACCAAGATTAAAACTCTTTTGTGAAGAAGGTTAAACAATAAGAAGGGTTGCATATATATCCTTTAACTTGGGCAATATAATGAACAACAATCTTTTTTTGCGATTTTCAAAGTTAAAGTTTAGATATTAGTACTATTCGTCATGTATATATAATTTTGTGTTTCCATGTTAGATCCTGATGATCCCTTCAAGCTGACAGAGGACACCCGCCATCTTGGACTTGTTGTGTGTCGAGGGACGTCGGTGGTCCTAATCTGTCCGTCGGAGGGAATGGAGGCCATCGCTAATCCATTTGTCCAGCAGGAAGGATGAAAACTATAGAACATCGACATTCCATAAAATGTGAATCATGATGGAACAGTTCGGCTTTCTACTGGGGAGTTGATACGAAATTTGAAAAAAACGATCAAACCCTTTTTGAAAATGTTGTTTTGTGGGATACATACTGTATCAATATTTTATATTCCAAATTGTTTTACCTAAACATTGAAAAATAACTAGGTTTTCTGAAATCACATTAGTGCTGGCAGTTTAATTTTGTTATATGTATAATTTTCTAGATACATACACTACTGTATTGACAAACTTTTGACCTCCATAGGAACTGACTGATGTCAATGTAAGGGAAAAGTGCTGTGCCTGTATTCATGAAACCGCTCTCTTGTTCAGGCATGAATTCTGTGCTCAAACTAACTTTCTTGTAACTTGTTGAAATCAGCTGACAAGGTCATAAAGTCAAATGTAAACTTTTAAAACGATGTTGGACTGTCGGTCTCTACCAAATCATTGACAGAACATGATTTTTTTAGGTCACCTGAGCTTTAGCTCAAGTGACCTATTGCTATCCGTTTTCGTCCGTCGTCGTCCGTCGTCCGTCGTCCATCGTCCGTCGTCCGTCGTCCGTTAACATTTTACATTTCAAACTTAAAGTCAAGTTCTGCTGGGCCGATTGAACTGAAAGTTGGTAGGAATGATCGCCTCATGGTCCTGACAAAGTGTTGTTATTTTTCGGGTCGATCAGAAATCCAATATGGCCGCCACGGCCGCCATTTTGAAAACCTATTTCAAACTTAAAGTCAAGTTCTGCTGGACCGATTGAACTGAAAGTTGGTAGGAATGATCGCCTCATGGTCCTGACAAAGTGTTGTTATTTTTCGGGTCGATCAGAAATCCAATATGGCCGCCACGGCCGCCATTTTGAAAACCTATTTCAAACTTAAAGTCAAGTTCTGCTGGACCGATTGAACTGAAAGTTGGTAGGAATGATCGCCTCATGGTCCTGACAAAGTGTTGTTATTTTTCGGGTCGATCAGAAATCCAATATGGCCGCCACGGCCGCCATTTTGAAAACCTATTTCAAACTTAAAGTCAAGTTCTGCTGGACCGATTGAACTGAAAGTTGGTAGGAATGATCGCCTCATGGTCCTGACAAAGTGTTGTTATTTTTCGGGTCGATCAGAAATCCAATATGGCCGCCACGGCCGCCATTTTGAAAACCTATTTCAAACTTAAAGTCAAGTTCTGCTGGACCGATTGAACTGAAAGTTGGTAGGAATGATCGCCTCATGGTCCTGACAAAGTGTTGTTATTTTTCGGGTCGATCAGAAATCCAATATGGCCGCCACGGCCGCCATTTTGAAAACCTATTTCAAACTTAAAGTCAAGTTCTGCTGGACCGATTGAACTGAAAGTTGGTAGGAATGATCGCCTCATGGTCCTGACAAAGTGTTGTTATTTTTTGGGTCGATCAGAAATCCAATATGGCCACCACGGCCGCCATTTTGAAAACCTATTTCAAACTTAAAGTCAAGTTCTGCTGGACCGATTGAACTTAAAGTTTGTAGGAATGATCGACTCATGGTCCTGACAAAGTGTTGTTATTTTTCAGGTCAATCATAAATCCAATATGGCCGCCACGGCCACCATTTTGAAAACATATTTCAAACTTAAAGTCAAGTTCTGCTAGGCCGATTGAACTGAAACTTTGTAGGAATGATTGACTCATGGTCCTGACAAAGTGTTGTTATTTTTCGGGTCGATCAGAAATCCAATATGGCCACCACGGCTGCCATTTTGGTAAACTATTTCAAACTTAAAGTAAAGATCTACTTGGCCGATTGAACTGAAACTTTGTAGGAATGATCGAATCATGGTCCTGACAAAGTGTTGTTATTTTTCGGGTCAATCAGAAATACAATTTGGCTGCCATGGCTGCTATTTTGCTACTAAGTTCTAATAGGCCGATCTCACTTAAAATTGGTCTAGGAATGATCAGCTCATGGTCCTGACAAAGTTAAGTTAACATTATACTATTTTTTACTCAAATTGGTACATATTTCAACAACAAAAATAAATACTATAGACTCAGGTGACCGTAAAGGCCCATGGGCCTCTTGTTTTAATTGTCATTAGAACAAGAAATTGGGCTTGAGCACAGAATCTGAGTTTGATAAGCATGAGAATGGTTTCATATGAATACAGGCCTTGGTCAGTTGTGTCCTGTATGCCATTGCTGACCGTGACGTGTAGCGTGTGTCTGAAGTGAGAGAGAAGTATGAAGTCTGTACAAAGAGACGTGGATTTAGATTGTAAGTGCTGGTGACAAGTGAATAAAGTATGAATGAACTCAGTTTTTTTTTTCTTTCTGACTTTTGCAGGGTTAGACACTTACCTTTTTTAGGTCACCTGAGACTTTAAAGTCTCAAGTGACCTATTGTGATCGCCTTTTGTCCGGCATCGTCGTGCGTCCGTAAACAATTTACATTTTCGACTTCTTCTCCAAAACCCTTGAACCAATTTCAATGAAATTTTGCATAAACCTTCCATGGCCAATGGTCAACCCTTCCTTTATATACAGAGTATTATTTCTAGGTCCCAAGGAGGCTTCGTAGCAAGTCAAGAGGAGTAGACTTCCAAATATTTCATAGTCCGAATTACCCCCTTTTTGGCCAATGAAGGGAGACAATCTTCTTTCAAAGTTGATTAGAGCAACTGCCTATGTGATTGGAGGTCTTGGGTTTCAATTATGGACTTGTCATTGCATTTTTGTTAAATTCTGAGAGGGGGCTGTGGTGACCAAGTGCTAAAGGCATCCGACGGTCTACAATCACTAGCCAACCATGATTGGGTCTCTGGTTGAATGCCTACGTGGCACTGGCCGCAGATCTCTGGTTTTCCTATTCACAAAACCTGGCACATCCTTCAATTCCATAGCTGCTATAATAGGCAGTAAAACACAAACAAACCAAACTAAATTGGAGTTCTGAGATGTTGCATTTTCACTTACCTATCCATTTTGCACCCAGTTATACCCACAGAAGGTGGTAAAGGGGCCTCGTGTATCTTTGGGGTTTGAAACCTGTAGGATTGATCCAGTTCTGCCACAATGTATTTATTGTACAATATAAAGGTTGACAGTAGAAACAACTCTAGTGTGGACAACTAACTGAAGGCAAGATTAATGGAATCTTTCACCCACTTTTGATTGAAATAGGGGAATCTGAATGACATCAATGAATTTCGGACATGACACCATACTGTTGTTCTTACCAAGGAATTCCTTTGTAAAAGATGTGCATTGATAAGGTTGCCTTGGCTTCAGCTGTAGGGAATTTCCCTTTAGCTCAGCGGTAGAGCATTGGTCTGGAGAGCCAAGGGTCGCGGGTTCGAGCTCCAGCGACGGCACTATATTTATCACTATACCTCGTCCTACTACACCTTCGTCTCAATTTACCTGAGGGTGAAGCAAAGATATCTCTCACTAGGAAAAGTGTTGATTAATAGGATCTTTCCCCACTCTTGGGGTAAGATAGAAAAAATCTTAACCCTTGGGTTAAAATTTTTAAATGTCTTGCCCTAGGCAAAGCCTGAAGGCTAGACATTTAAGAAATTTTCCCCATGGGATGCTGAGGGCCAGACATTACCCAAAGGGTTGAGATTTTCTACCATGCTCCTAAATTGGGGAATGATTATTTTTCGTCCACTTCAAATACAACTTAAGAAATATGAAATGCAAACATTGATTTAAAAGTCTCAAACAAACCAGGATTATCTTCCATCATCTTTTATTGTTAATGTGAACGTCCTACAATTTGCTATGACAGGGGAATCCCCCCCCCACCCCCTACCTTGAGGGTGTGACAGGGAAATCTTCAACCTGAGGGGTGATTTATTTGGTTGTCTGACCTTGCCAACCAAATAACCACCCCGAGAGATGACAAGAAGATGAAGCATCAAAGACAAGATAACACAGTGTACGTCTGATCACATACTGTATTTAATAGTAAACGTTCCAGCTATCACATGGAATGATACAGAGAGAAAACTCAACAAGCGTTCCCCACAACAGAGAGACACGTCAACAAACGGAGGGTTCCTAACTAATGTGCTGTATTAATGTAAAACTATTACATTCATCCAAGTATATCTCTAAACACATTGTAAGGGGTTATAATAATTTTTAGACAACCATCTTTCTATATAAGCCATTTTGAGACGATCATCTTTCTATATAAGCCATTTTGAGACAACCCTTCTTTATGTCATCCATTTACTTTGTCTACCGACCTTATACAGGAGAAGGGCCATTTTGAGACAATCCTTTTTTACATTAGACCTTTAATAGTCTATATAAGCCATTTTGAGACAACCCTTCTTTATGTCATCCATTTACTTTGTCTACCGACCTTATACAGGAGAAGGGCCATTTTGAGACAATCCTTTTTTACATTAGACCTTTTTTAGATGATCCATTTCCACAAAACTTTGTGCAACCCTTATTTAGATGCAAAGCAACCTATACTAGAAATTGTGGCACATATTTCAACAATGTAGACATCCCCTCGGGCCTGTCCCCTACGCTATTTTACAGTACATAATGCACCTAACAAGCAATCATTGAAATTTACATTTATTATAGACATGCAATGAAATACTTACCAAATCAATTATTAGAAGGGTAAAATCACAAAGTCCAAAAAAAATCTTTCCTCAATAGAACTGAATGGAAAAAAAATCAAAAAGAAATCTGATACAATTTGGTGGATCTTTTTTTAAAGAATCGGTGGATCTCATAACATGAAAAATGAGTACTTGGCAAGACATCTTTCTCTGTTCATAACAAAGACACACTAATTTATTTATCTCTGACCCATTGTTCAGTGATAACATCAATGTCAAGCAACAGTTATAATATTTATAATAGGCCTCCAAACACAGGATGCTGGTAATCTGAAGGTAATCTGAAGCATTCAAACACAAGCCAGATTCACGATAATTAAAAATAAAACTATTAATTACAAATGACTTTCCTACAAAAAATAATTTACAAACAAATTGTGATGTGATGTCATGAATATTTAAACTTGTAATTCATATATAAACGATGATATAAACACCATATCAATCCGGCAATAAGCCCATGCCTGGTAATAAGCCCACCCATATATCTATTGCAGTTCAGAATACCAACATATGCTATTTAACTATCCTGTAATAAGCCTGTCCCAAACATTGAATCATGGATTACGTGTTGGTCCCCTGGGCTTACTACAGGACATATATGGTAAACATTTATATTCTTTTTCTATAGAACTATTGCAATGTGTGAACTAGTGTTAAACAACCCTAACAGCATTGAGACTCCCCACTACAGTAAGTTACCTATATAAACTGAACCCTGTGTAATTTGACACCCTGTATACATAGACCTAATCTAGGTAGGTGCATACTGTTTTATAAAACATGAATCTGTCATTCAAAACCTGTGTATAAAGACCTTCGACCAGGTCCTAACATTTCCATTTCTATGTATAAGCCAGACTTTCAATTCAGTCTGTACATTTCTACCTTAACTGAACAAGTGTGAACTGGAAATGTTTTTAAACCAGACCTTCAAAACAGGTCCATTACTACACTTCTACCAAAATTGGCCCTTTCTAATCTGGAAACTGTATAAACAGACCTTCAACTAGGTATGCATCTACCTTTCAACCTAAACTGAACGTTGCTATCTAAAAACCTTTACAAACCAACCAGGGTCTGTGCTCAACCCAACTGTCTTATAACTCGCTTAAATCGTTTGAAACGATAAAAAAGTTATTTAAACGGTTATCAGTTCGAAATGTTTCCAAAATTCTCCCAAATCATAGACCAAATATTAAGTTTGAATTTATTTATTACCGGAACAAGAAATGGGACGTAAGCATATAGAATCTGAGTTTGATCATGAATACGGGCCCAGACCTTTAATTCAGTTAGTACATTTTGTATGTTTCAACTTATTTGAAACTTTGTAATCTGGAAACTTTCAGCTTAATTGGTTCTGATGTATAGATATATGTAAACCTGTTGTATCAATAAACGTTTCTTTTATGAATGGAATTCAGTTTCATCACGGTCCTGTTGGGTTCAATTTTGAAAGGTTTCAGTGGAGTTCAGTTTAGACAGATTTCAGTGGAGTTCAGTTTAGACAGGTGTCAGTAGGGTTCAGTTTAGACAGGTTTCAGTGGAGTTCAGTTTAGACAGGTGTCAGTGGGGTTCATTTTAGACAGGTTTCAGTGGAGTTCAGTTTAGACAGGTGTCAGTGGGGTTCAATTTAAACAGGTTTTACAATGTAATAGAACTATCAAGACATCTATATAGCGCAAAAAACAATTCACAAGTTATTTTGATAATGCCACTTAATTAGTGGAAGACATCCTGTTTTAAATTTATGGTTGGTCCATTTGAAAATCAACAATCATTTACATTCATATCAAAATAATTTGATACCAAAATAATTAAGTCTTCACAGAAGCGATAGAAAATGCAAATAGTGCAAAGTTATAAAAAGATATATAAAAAATAAATTAAGCCAAGAATGGGATACATAAATATTTATCATGCCTCCATAAACATTAAGTAAGTTTAAACCTTGTAAAATGGAAAAAGTTTGTAGATTTCTAAACTGTAGCCATAGTTTTCAAAAAATGAGTTTTCACCATTTTCTGCTTAGATATGAATAAAAGGTCATACTAGGGTACTTGAAACTTAAATATAATTCATTGCTGTGTTTTGTAGATTTTATAAAATTTCGGTATTTATTTACATTTTTGTACTTATTTACAAGGAATTTATTTAATATTCACTGCATCATAAATCATACAAACAACTATTCCTGTGTAAACTGAACAAGTGATCAATACTCAGCATGACCCCCCCCCCCCTTTTTTTTTCTTTTTAAGTGAACATTTTTGGAATGCAAAGGATAAATTTCATTTGTTTACTTTATTTATCCTAAAGTGTTTTGTGTTACATGGAGAATTTCTTCTGTATAAAAAATACACCTCAACAGCAATTAATTGACAAAAATAACTATCAAAAGCCAAAATAAAATGCTTAACTTTATACATATATATTTGTAAAAAGTAAAGTCTGATGTCAGCACTTGTATAACAATACATGGTATGTTTCATATCGGAATAAATCAACATTAATTTCCCTTGTACATCGAATTATTTTAACTCCCTTGATAATCATATTGTAGGCAGTGTCCGTTTGACTAATTGTAAACAAACTAAAACAGACACACAAACACATCATGAATATCTAACAGAGGGGAAATAGGTGTGAGGAAAATTGTAGTATTCAACTATGGCAGATTTTAATTGTACCTAGAATTACAGTCTCCTAGCTTCACGCTAGAGGGAATTTCCCTTTAGCTCCGTGGTAGAGTGTCCGACTAGGAACCTAGAGATTGTGGATTCCATCCCCGGTGGAAGCACACTATTCTCTTCCTGGTTCAAATGTTGTCCGTGTCCCTCCCTGTGGTGACAGGGAGTTAGAACCGATGACGAACACATTTAAAAAGGGGGAGTAGTTTGGCAGGTTTTAATTGTACATAGGATAACGGTCGCTTTCTAGCTTCAAGCTAGAGGGAATTTCCCTTTAGCTCAGTGGTAGAACTTCCGACTAGGAAGTCTGGGATTGTTGGTTTGATCCAAAACAAAGCACACAGCATCAATATCACTTCCCCTGATAATTATCACAGCTACAGAACGCATGTTTATTAAGTTAATATGTACTGTTACAGGAAAATTTTCGCCAAGACAAATATTTGCCCTTTACTGGTAAAATCCACGCTCGCTCAGTGTGAATTTCACCTTTATGTAATGTAACAATTATATATGGTATGCTGTATTCACGGTTATGAAAAATTCGCTCTCATTGCGAAGCACAAAAATTGCAAAAATTAAACAGTGGCGAAAATTTCTTACACCTGAGTCATGGTAATCCTGCATGCCTACTTTGTTCCCAGTGAAATTACAGGACTGTAAAACTTTTTGATTGCTTTTGGACATTTTTTTAACTCATTCCCCCCTGAAATTTCATAATGAACTATTATTCCAATCTTTGAACTGGAAGGGTTTAAATGTGTCTTCAGGGGCGAATGAGTTATAGAGAAAGAAACGAGACCAAACTGTCTTCTAAGACACTGCATATTGGAAGTTAATTTTACCAAAATCGATCTAGTTTGTCTTTAATAATTTGTTTTATTAAGAAAATACAACATGGTGAACTTCCGATAGCACAAATGCCACGAGAAACAATTAAGGGGAGACAACTGAGACTTAATGTAAGTTTTGATCAGTGAAAAGCATGGATGTATACCAGTTGATAATTTGACAACATGACAGTTTAAAACCATCATTAATATACTAATGAATTATTAACAATTAACATAATTAATTAATAGATGGACGAAATCAAAATTCATACAATGAATTAACATCATTTTTCAGTTACATTTCAAATATCTCACTGCATGTAAATCACTCATCACATTGGAGCTTATCCAAGAAAACTTCACAACCCAAGATATAGCAACACCACATGTAAAGAGTGCACGTTGAGAAACACAGTGTTTTGATATTCAGAAAAGGCCGTTATACTCCAGATACATGTATATACCTCTGTTATATTTCCACTTCAATACTAAATATTTGCTATTTTTGTTAGAAGTTAATTTTCGCTTACTTTGCAAATGTGTTACAATTCAAAAATGTATGAACTTGAAAAACCTTGTGAGCCTGATAATGAAATTAGCACATGTATTTGTACCCGTTTCAAATTAAAAACTTGTGAAAAACTGTATTAGATGACAACTTGTTATTCTAATACTCACAAAAATTAGCAAGTATACATTATGTAGTGGTATATGTAAAACATTATCATAAACATTTCCTAGAATCACTTTAGTTTGAGATCCCTTGTACCTTATATACAATCGTACATGGCTATAAATGTTTACTATATGTATAGAAAAAGAAGCCCTGCTCCTGTCAAACATGTTACTGATCCAGATAAATAATTACACTGTAATATCATACAAAGAGATTTAATGATTTTGCTTACCATATTTGCCATAATTAGCAATAAGGGTGCTGGAAAAATTGACAGGAGGGGGCACTTATTACGATAATAAACACAGATTGTGGCAGGTGCTTCTCAGTGTTACATGACTGTCACACATATCTCAGCAATAATTCCAAAATAGATTTTTCCATATTTTTTTTTTTGAAAACGGTCTTGTCAGATTGTGAGACTGAATTATCTGATATAAAGTGCATATAGTACAATTTTCTTTAACAGCAAAGGACCAGAATGGAAGCTGTGTTTGGGGAAGGGGCACCGACATTATTTCAAGGTACCCAAAAAAGGAAGGGGACATATATAAGAGGAAATATGCTCATTACAGCAAATACGGTAAGGAACTACAGTTTTTATTACGGGTCAGCACTGTACAGCACTTACAAGGCTACTTCAGATATGAACATATACAGGTAGGAGGGAGGCAGTAAATACTTTTGATATTTATGTGTAGCCGGGTCTAATGGTTCTGAAAGAGCCTCCCTTCCCCGTCAATATCTCTTTTTGGAACAGTCCTCAATATAACAGTAATAATTTAACATCAACATAGATTTTACGTGTATTATATATTTTAATTTCCGTACATGTAGAACAACATTTTATGTACATATATTTAAAACATAACGTAGAACTGTTTGACACGACAGCAACTATAACGTTTATGGACAAAGTCAAGAAATTGTACAGCTAACAAATTATAGAACAGTAGTATGGAACATCCTATTGTATTTACCACTTTCGTAAGATAATGCCAATTTCTATTCTATAAAGCAAGGATGTTTAACAATAACCCAATAACATAACAGGGCAAATGTTTATTTACATTTTCCGGTGTTTCCTGCCTAAGACAAACTAAATGTGTATACAGAAACCTGTGAAAACCAGAATAAATTTGTTTGATCAAGATGAGTTGACTCAATGGCACATTTACGTAAAATTTAAATCAGGGATATTTCCATAATTACTCGGATTAAAACTCAAATATTTATGTTCTGGGATTCAACTCATTCACCCCTATAATTTCATAATGAACTATTCCAACCTTTGAATGGAAGAGTTCACATGTGTCTTCAGGGGTGAGTGGGTTAAATTAATCAGCCTCAGATTCAAACTGTAAGAAGTGGAAAAATACGACATTGATTTAAACCAGGAACTAAGTGTTCCCTTGTCCTTCTTTTGATGTCAGTAAAGTCAGATTTCACAGTAAACAGATTTCAAAAGGATGAATGTATTTTCTACTGATTTTTAAGGACTTTTCTTGAAATGTATCCTTAATTTCTACATGATAACAAACAAAAAATAAGGAAGAAAACACTTTCACAGGAAGTGTCGGTTTTTCTAACCTACGAAACGGTACACATAAAATAAAACATAAACGTATGACAAATCTGTCCAATAAATTAGATTAAGAGACTAAGTTGACTAAAATCACACGCGAGTCAGGAAACCTAGATGGAGTGATTGAGGAACTTCCACGGTTTCCATGGTGATGCTTGACGGGTTGAATGGGAATGTAACTGGGTACGAGAATTTGGTGTCCATAAGGAGTGTATTGTCCGATTCTTGTGGTCGATTTTTCAACTTTTTCTGAATTTCACGGATGAATGGAATTGGCACACGTTCCTCGAATTCATCTACTGGAGTGTAGAGGTTCAGGATCTTCACAATCTGAAAAACAAAATAATCATAAAAGTCATTATGGTAAATGACATCATAAAACATCACAATTAATTTCAGTATCGTGGTGTTGTTTACAAAAATTACAAAAGTAATGAGATTTTATTACATAATGTTTTGCGGAAGTAAAACCTTTTGCTTTTCTCTCCCTCAATAATGAGGGTGAATAATCATCACAGTGAATAATAGTAATTAAAACAAAGCGATGATGTCACATGTGTCCAATAAGATGTATGCACTGTCCAATAAATTTGACCAACTGTCCAATAAATTTGACCAACTGTACAAATGTTTGACCTACTGTCCAATAAGTTTGACCTACTGTCCAATAAGTTTGACCAACTGTACAAATGTTTGACCTACTGTCCAAAAAGTTTGACCTACTGTCCAATAAGTTTGACCAACTGTACAAATGTTTGAGCTACTGTCCAATAAGTTTGACCTACTGTCCAATAAGTTTGACCAACTGTTCAATAAGTTTGACCAACTGTACAAAAAGTTTGACCTACTGTCCAATAAGTTTGACCAACTGTCTTATAAGTGCTCAACGTATTTGACAGTTGTGACATCACATTGTAGGGACCAGATGGTCGGAGCTACCATAGCCATAATTCAGGAATATATTATATAACAAGCTCCGCTTTGACCATCAATGAACATATCAGAGTCTAAGAGAAACTAACTTAAACGCATAAACTTAATGTTGATGGAGATGCTGACAAAGTCAATGGACCATGAAAGGTAGGCCCCATTTTGATGCATGTGTTGAGATGTACCTACGATGCATCTATGGTCCAAGTTTGGTTGGTCTAGCTCTTATACTTTCAGTGAAACTAACTTAAATGAAACAAGAGGCCCATGGGCCTTAACGGTCACCTGATATATTTATACAGAGAGTTGATTTTGTTTTTAACATGAACAGAAATATTATTCAAAGTGACAAAAAACAATAAAACCCCTTATTCAATATCTAGCATACAGATTTCAGACTAAAAAGGATTTGAAACTAGCACCTCCAACCCTTGGGGGTAGGGCTGGCTCAAAATTTTCAAAGTATCAAACTGTCAATTCAAGGTTATAATTCCAATCAAGTTATTAACATGTAATATTCAAAGTATCATTTGCCATTA